AGTGTGAATAATCATTGAATTCAAAATTCAGATAAACTGTGAAAAATCTTGACCTTCAGTGAGGAATTGGCCCACATTTTTTCCTCGCAGATTTGACTGCCCTAAAACTCCTTTATGTGAATACTTGAGCATGTGCTTCAGTACTCTCTTTTTTTGGGGGGGGGGGGGGGCACAAGTCGTTTTAAATAACCGTGCAGGGAGGTACAGATGTCCGCGAGTTGTAAACGATGCATACTTTGTAATCAGTGCGAGCACGATGGTGAAAAATAAACGCATATCTAGTTAGTTGAATTTGTCTAACGTTTATTCAAATCGGACGGTCAAGCGAACTTCCCGTAAAGAGATTTATATACGTGAAGTTAAAGTGAAATGTTTTCAACAATACGTCATATTCATGTATTTAAACTTCGGTGAACAAACATAGTGAACACCCAGAACAGAATCCATGCATATGAAGCAATTCCGAAAAGGGTATTTTTCATCATTCCGACAATGGTTGGAGCACCGGCCATGGAGCCCCTTATAAACACTAACGCCACAATGGCCTCTAGGTATTATAGTATCACACTCAATGATTCTCCCTTTTTAGCTTTTTTTGATAAGAAAGCCAGGAATAAACAAAGTGTGTCATGTTTCTTTACCGTTCGCTCTTCCAAGTTTATTACTACCTGTAGCGAGGTTGCAGTGGTTCGCAAACTGGTGCATCATGCTTGTCGCCACAGTTAGCTGCACACCGTATACGCTATTTTATGTTTCAGGCTTCCCGGAGAATAATGTCGTGCGTTTAACTTTCTACTGCAGCGGCGGTGGCTACCTCAGCGGTCTGCGAAGGCTATTTCACTGCATTGAAACGTGGTCGGCAACCGAAGTGCATTCACGAGAGCTTCTGTTGCGGGTAGTCGGGACATCTTACTCGAATAAGCAGTACTGCGCAGTAGTAAAATTCGAAAATCAAAAAGCGAGGGAGCGTGACACACAATGTCCACTCAACGATTTTTTTTTTACCAGACAGAGCAAAAAAAAAAAAAAATAGAGAGACAGGTATGCGCACACCCCAGCCCCCTCCACGCCGGCGGGCTCCAAGCTTTAGTCACGGTGCCCTACAATGTGTTATTAATCCAATGTCATCACAGTGATATCAGTGAGCAGCTGCTGCAAGGCCTTGTTGAGAAGCCTGGAAATGTTAGACCAACCCTAAGCCTAAACATCCACACGCGAGTGAGTGTGTACGAACGACAATCCGTATACTTTTGTAGCATGCACGCCTTATAGTGTCGATCCTCTAGCTGAACTTCTATGGGCGATTCCGTCAAAAAAAAAAAAAAATGCTCTCGAGAACGATTCCGCCGAAGCGGTGCTCGCAGCAGCAGACGACTCGCCACAAGAAGGTGCATGTGGCGGTTTCGGCACGGGCTCCTCTGATCGGTACGCTTCCGTTCACGGGTGTACACATACAGATGGCGCATGCGCAATGTCAACGGGAAGAAATTAGCGCCAGTGACCAATTGCTGGAGCGGCAATACTGCGACGCGTGGCGCTGTTGCTAACGAGCGCGCCGATAGCCATGGTTTCCCAAGTATAGTACGTTCCATTTTACAAAGTAGGGATGGCCGGCGTGAACGGCTGAAAGCAGCCGAATCTGTTGTTGGCCGTGCTAAAGCGCATGGACCAAAGAAATACTTGTTCGTTGCTTTCAGGCAGCCGTGGCCATACACGTGATTTTTTTTTTCTTTTTGCACTGGAGTAGTTAGCAACCCTATCTATATAGCAGTTGCCAGAAAAAGAAATTTCTTGAAATCAATTCCGCCAGCCGCCACTGGTTCGTAAAATGGAATGTGCTGCTGGGTTTTGTTTTCGATGCTCTCAAAAAAAAAAGGGAGAGAGAGAGAGAGAAAGTAACGTATATATTCAGTCCGCTACGGTTACCTTTCTCTAATTGTGCCAATCTTTATTCTTTTGTGACTGTATCATTACGAGTATGTGTAGAGGTAAATGCGCGTAAACTCCACGCCCTCCTCTCCTCGTAGCTTTCCTTTCATTGCAACACAGTGTGTGTTTGTCACATCTTCAATGATCATTCTCTCTCCCCCACCAAACTTTGCAGCTGTAGAGAGTATGGACCGCTATCGCAAAGCACGAAATATAGACATTGTTCAAGCCCTCTGTCCGTCAAATTTTGCTAACCTCCTGACCATAGATAGTACGCGGCTCGATGGCCTTCCGTGGGAACACTACTGAAGACTATTACAGGGAGTCGAAACGTACCTGTTTTTTTTTCTTTTTTTACATTTGCACGTTTGTGACAATCCATTTCCCTTGGTCCAGGGCTGTCTTACTCCTGTGATCTTGTTGGAGACAGAAACACTTCTGGTGCATTCCTCATCGACGCCGGCGTGAATAAGAAGACGACGTATTCGCAGAATAGGCCCATTTTGAAGACACTTACGCAAAAAGGAAACGCTTTATGGCCTACTCAAAAAATATATATATATATATATTTGGGCATAAACATTTCACGCTCGCTTCCACCTGTATACTGAATTACCGCAGAACTTTCTAAGCTATTTTTCTTGTGAGGGTCTGCAAGATTAGTCTCGCTGCCTCAGGACTTCAATAACCAAAAACTTAGTTGCCGTTTCGGAGAGATAGAAGGAAAAATTGTTTCAAAAACTGAGTTGATAATTCCTATCCACTTTCTACAACAATGTTTCTAAGCAACTGCAATAAACATTCCATATTTAAACATTTTTGAAGTTGTTTTGTTCGCTCTACAAGGTACAAAATGTCTGCCTTCGCTTTTTGATGTGCATATATTTCGTATCCAAGATGTTTTCTTAGTAACTGGAATATTTGCGTGTTAAGCATACAGCATTATGAACTTCCAATAACGACCAGTGATGCAATTATTCCGTCACTATCAAATACGTTTCAAATGCTTTGCCTTGTAAATTATGAACTTAAAAAGCAAACAGTTGCTTTTCGCTCCACTGGGTGCTATAGGCATAAATTATTAAATTCTTAATAAAATCACAAATATTTTTATTTTACGTGTTCGTGTCAATCTCTCGTGGAATGACCCGTTTGCGACAGTGACGTAGCCAAAAACTGACTCACCGCCCCTCCCCCCCCCCCTCCCTTTCATGAAATGTTTTTCCGCCATGGCATACATAGCACCAAATACAATTTGTTTGCCCGACCGGCTCCCGCTCTAGCTCAAACCGATGCGTATTAGCTCAAAGGAGTACTGTATTGCATGCCGCTGTGTTGTGGTCACATGGACATCGGCCAAACCGGATGATATTTGAATATACGCCTTAGGGAACATAGGAGTTCCTCGAAATGTACCCCATTTTCCATTTTAACTTAGCAGTGCGATTCCTGCAGATAACAACCATTGTTTCAAAAAACGAGTGTTATTTTCCTGCATCTTCTTCAAACTACGCGTGTAATTTCTTCAAACTACGCGTGTAATCACATTTCCAGAAATAAGGACCAGTGTATCAGCCATCCTTCATTACCACTACTTGACTGAGTTTAACTATATAAAATTTATTAGGCAAGTACTTCGACTGAACCTCACACTTGCTGCTCGCACTATCATATTATTCTTGTCGACTTGACATGCGCGTGCTTGTTTATATATGTGTCTTCTTAACGTCAGAATATTCTAGTTGTAATGAGTGCTCGTGCTGTGTGCATCCTCTTTGCTCTATGTGCGTGTGCCCCCCCCCCCCCCCCCGTGCTCTCAGTTCGCTGAACGATTATACCCCCCCCCCCAAAAAAAAAAATCTGGGTGAGCCCCTGGTTCGCGATAACCATGCTTACGAGACTAAGTGTGGTTATGTGTGATATGTAACTGTCTGTAACTCTGGTTAACTGTAGCGTACGTGTGACAGCCGTATTAATGGGCTTTGGTTGAAACAGGGGGTAGCAAGAAACTGAGCCAACCAAGGTTGCAAGAAAAAAAAAGAACTGTTTTTTATAAGAACGTATTTATGTTTTTTGCCCCTGACTTGCGTTTTTTTTTCTTCTTGTCTTGGGGTCACGCCTGTTGTCCATAATCTGTAAATTCCGTTTTGGCAGGCTTTCTATTGAAGCCTGTAGATCGCTTAAGTATGCTGGCTGTCTCCAGGATGGGCCAGAATTTCACAAAAAGCCACAAAGTGACACATAGGCCTAATTGTTTTAAGTGAATTCTAATCTGTATTAAATAATTTGAACATATTGAAAAGATTCACTGTTTATTGTGGTTGTACGCGTTTTTAAACCACACGACGTCGCTGAGGTCTCGATACTTTTGACACAAGTCTATTTCTTTGTCATAGAGTAATTGCACTTCAGTAAAACTTGTGCATGCACACTAACAGTGTTAATATTTATGAATTGGTCAACGAAAAGCAAGCGATGAATAATACGCATAGTATGCTTCCAGAAGAGCAACAGAGTTGTGATAGGGGGACGCCAGCACAATACGATATAACATTGAGTCGTTAGTCTAGTTTGATTGACGGCACTTACCATTACCAGCTGCCACTCACGTTTTTCAAACTGTGGTAGCTTTGGGCCTCAAGCGACTCCTAAATCAGCCCTTCGAAAAGTAACTGAGTCGGAGGTATTCACGTGCTAGTGTTAAAATAGCCCTATTTTGTTTTGATGTTCCCTTCAAGCAATACATTTTGCTGTGGCTTTCAGTGCATACCACTATTTACAACCTCACCACACCTGTAACTAGAAAAGGAAGGGGTTCCCCAAACCTGTATTGTCAAGGCAATAATTGGATCTTTTCCGGGTGTCAGCCAAAGCTTGGCAGGGAGAATCTGCATTGGCGCTTTACGAAGAAGTAGCTAACCCCCTTACCCACATATCACCCTTCTCGCCTTGTTGTGCGGAGGGGTACACACGAGCAAGCTCCGCCCCCCACAGCTCTCTGTTTACTTGCAAAGTCGCTCCTGTTTCCCCTGCCCTCTTTCTCTATTTCTTTCTCCCTCGCTTTCTCTCAGGTTGTGGATAGGAGCCTCTGTAATATCGCCACTCGTCTTTCTACCTCCTTTTCTCATCTGTCTCCATTGACGCATGAGCCGTGAAAGAAAACGCTACTCAAAAATATCCCGTGAGAGCCATAACGTGCCACCTTCTACGAGATGAAGCTGAACACTCCCGCCACCGATTTCCCCGAGGACGAGATCGAGGACCTTCTGATTGAAGAGATCGCACCCTGGATAGATAACGCCGGGGACAGCAGCGACACCGACGACGAGACTGAGGGCACACCAGTCGAAGAAAATCCAAATTGGCCGGAGACCACAGCCAGCGGCACGAATGTGTCCGAGCTCGTCCAGGACGACTGGGACCCGACCTGCTTCGAGCACGAAGGGGCGTCGGCGCAGTGCCTGTTGCGCATCCAGGACGACATGCTGGACCTCTTCCATAATCCACTCCCGGGTGTTCTCATCGAGGCTAAGGACATCAGCCGGTTCTACGTCGCTATGGTGGGCCCCTCAGGCACGACGTACGAGGGCCGCTTGTTACTCTTTCTGCTACAGTGCCCTCCGAACTTCCCGACGCGGTCGCCACGTGTTCGCCTCCTGAACAACCACGGTGTAAGCCTCGGCCCGAAACTGTGCGCAAGCGGCAAGGTGTGTCTGGACATTCTTGGCACCACGGACAACTGCACGTGGAGCCCCGTGCACAGAATCAAGACCGTGCTCATGGCGATCCAGTCGCTTCTGATGGAGGCGCAGTGATTGTGTGATCTCTCACTTGAGGAAACACAAAGGTGGACGTTTTTATTCTCAACGCTGTTGTGAACTATGAGGTTGTAGTCGCCTCACGCAATGTACATTCCTTATGCAGTCGACAAAGTTTAAATAAAAGGCTTCACAACGAAGACGTATTTTTATTTCGTGCACGTTTGCTACGTGTCGCATGATCTCGTGTTTCTTTTAAAATTTTGTCGTAAGTGTATCACATATAATACGGGGAGAAAGTAGACAAGATCCTGGAAGCATAGTACTTGTTTTGTGGCGTGTGTATTTCAGCTCTTCGATTGATCGGTGTCGTTAAATATTGACCAGCGTGGCATATTAGGGCCTCATCAAGTTAGCAAGCATTGCGAAAGATCCCTAGAAGAAATACACGTCCCAATTCTTATGATATGCTTGATAACCAACCATATCTTTCCAAGCCGTTTAGTAGGTAAGAAGTATGCGCCAAGTTTATTTATCAAGGATGGTCAGTAATATAGGGGGTATGCACTCGACGTCACCTGCTAGAATGACTAGCATGGGGGTCGACGTTTTGGTGTTCAGCGCGCTTGCCACACGCGCGAGAAACTCGCAGCACGTGCTGTGTCCGAGATCTGTAGGGCAGCTTGTGATCTCAGGAATACATGCTGCATGCCGAAGCATGGACAGCGGGATGCACGTACGAACAGACCGTCAAAATGTGGTGGTGACAGTGTTGGCCCCTTGCGCATCAAGCCTCAGTGCATAACACTACTATAGCTTAAAAAGGGAACGTGCTTGTATGTATATATATTGGCTTCTCAATTTTCTTTTTACACTACGACTGAGTGTGGCATAAATACTGCGCTGCCATATGTTTAGCATAATTATTGGAATTAGAAGTCTCAATATCACGATGGTATTCTAAGAGACGCCGCCGTGAAGGGCTCAGAGAAATTTGGATCATGCGGCGTTTCTTTACGCGAGTTCATAGGATTCTATCATGTTAATCTCAACCAAATATGGCTTGCTCTGCAGGGATACATGCTGCAACCTTTGTGCGAACATTCAAGCACCGCAGCTACGACACCCCCACGGTGCATTCTTCAATGTTAGCTATCGTGAACGAGAACCAACATCCTAGTGGTACGATTGGCTGTGATTGGGTGTGCCATTTGGTCCAGAAAAATCCAGGTGTCACCACTACCTCTTTCCTCAGTGGCACCGACGCCCCCATCGCTGTTGCTGCGTGCACTCTTGTGCGTTTCATGGCGTCTGTAGGTGAATGTTTTCTTAGCGTCCGCTACAGCTATGCGGACGCAATAGGATGGCTGGCAGGCTACGTGCACAGAGTTGCTCCGAATGGCCAACAGGCATTTGATATTGTTACGGTTAAAGTCAAATGGTGTTTGTTAGCAGGGCGAGGTTGATGGTCGGGTAATTATGGCGTTGGCATTTACAACAGTTCACGTCTTCCTCCTCTTCTCCTCAATCGGGTCATACCCGTTGCATTTCCCGGGTCCCAGACGAAGCCCTCTGGGCGAGTATGAATTACTCTGAATGTTTAGGGTGAAACTGTTTAAGCTGAGCGACATGTACCAGCTGGGTCCGGTTTGACTGACGGCCAGCTGATGTCAGCCGTGCTACCACGTATGTCAAATCGCTCACGCGATCATCAATGACAAATGGGTCACTGTACTGGGGTAAAAACTTCTCGCATAGGCCCCGTTTACGTTGTGGCGTCCACAACCACACGAAGTATTCTTCGCAGTATGCGACAGACTGATGGAGGCTGCCATAGCTTTCGTTCGATCGGTGTTGCGAAGCAACTGTAGGAAGACCGGCTATACGCCGGGCTTCTTCGGCTAGGTAGAGTGTCTTGGAGACAAAGTAGTCGCTATGGACGTCAAAGGAAGGTGCATGTGCAAGATAATGTGCATGCCATTCACTTCGACTAGCTTCCAGAGCAATTGCACGGGATGACACATGCGAGGTAATTTTCACTGCTGCTTCTAGGAGAACCATGCAAAAATATGCGAGTTAGCACACCGGAGAGCCCATCCGATTGCACCAGCTTCATGACGATAGACCTTACTAAATTCAGATTCGTGTACGCAGGTTTTTTAAAGACGATAGTCTTCCTTGGGGACCTTCGACGTAAAAGTTTTGGTCTGTCTGTACATTTGTCTGTTTGTCCACTTTTAACGGCATCGGGTACTTGAAACGGCCGACCCCATTCGCAGCGCCCATCAATGTTGCTCAAAATTGAGCGTTCTTGCTTGTGCAATCGTCCATTAAAAAGCAATTATTGCGCCTGTCAGGGGCACCATAACAACACGTATATATTCTGCATGTGCGTATCTTACTACAAAAGGCATACATAAGTAATTTTAAGGACCGTAGCGCTTATCACGCTGCGCTGACCATGCAACGCTTGCACGGAAAGGTGAGTGTTTCCAATGCTTTGGTAAAACGAAACGGTGGTGACACCTATCGGTCGCATTGCGTTCTACACCTTATCACCTCTGAGACAGGCGCGCACTTCCGTCTCAGAGCCACACCCTATGTTTTCCAAAAAAAAAACAACTGCCAGATGGCTTTCATGTCTCACGTGTGACGTGACTTGATAAACTCGTTCACCTCAGCTGCACGCTCGAGGCACTCTAACGCAGCGCCTCCTGAATATCATTCACCGATTTTCTTGCGCAGCACATCAAATAAATGTCTTGTTTACTCTCTCGACACGCAAGACTATCGTCTTTCGACAACATTTGCAGATTACATGCTGACAGATACGGGGCTCATTTTTTTTTCGATAGAGAATCAGGCGAACGTTGGCGATGGTGTCCTTGTGGCTTCACGTAGTGAAATGAAATTGGTTTATTATGTTTTTAAACAGTATAGTGGCGCATAATACGGCCCGGCTGCCGTATTTCAAGACGCTATGGAGACGTTGACACACCCGAAAAGACACCGAGTCACATCGTCTCACCCCACCAGTGCGGAAGCCCCTTCCAATCTCCTCTAAAAAAAGAAAAGAAAACAGCGGAGCGCTATGGAAAGGAGCAGCCACGATCCTTGCGGTGAGGAACACAATCTGCCTCAGCCGCTGCGTTACAAAGCGTCTCCGTTCACACCACTATTATGTTGGTTGTACTTCAGTATAATGTTAACAAAAGCGATCTCATATCAATGCGGGTAACATGGAAAAGCTGGTTTACTTGTATTTGGGTGCATACTGAACCTTCAGGCGTCTATATGCCACTGCTGTCAATGTTGCTAATGTATGAGCCGAACTGCAACCGGGAGCATGATAGAGGAGGACGAGGTTGTCGTGGAGGGGGCTGAGGACTGATGGAAAGTATGCAGCGGCGAGGATCCGGTTTTCATCTTTGCCGTGAGACATCTTAGCTGCCAGTGGCAATAGGGGCAGTCCAGCAAGGTGGTGGCTTCGTCGCAGATCAGGAGCTTGAAGAATTTTGTTGCGTGGTTACCTAGCAGCTTCACCACAAAACTATCACAGTTGAATAAAGGAATATTGGGTTTTTTTACAAGGTGAGGATGAGATCCATCAATCAGAAGTAAAGCTGAAGTCCTCAAGTCACCCCAGACAACCTCATTTTCTGTTTTCTCTACCCAAGCTCATAGTACAGCGCGGCTCATAGCGTACCAATATGTTGGCCATACCGTCACTTCTGTGTGTCATGCCGCACAGATATATTCTAGAACAACACGAACGTACAATCGTTTGCTTCGTTAAGTTCGTCTTCTAGCATGCAGGCGCAAGTGTTAAGCACTAGCCCTCACCGAAACGTTTTCTTCAAAAGAAACTAATTTCTTTCGCGTCCCGTGAACAGATTTCCGGAAGAAAAGTGCAAAATGTACTGTGTAGTCACCATCAAACTCTTTGAAAAATAATTTCAAGATAGGTGGACTGCAAATCGTAAACACGGTATACCCAAAGGTACCCAGACATTTTAGGAGTCAAATTCAATCTGGTAATGTCCTCCGTGTAGCTGTCTGTAACGGTGGTTAGATGTGGTGTTCTGTGAACGCCAATTTAATGGGGTTTAGTTGAAAGATAGGGTAGCAGGAAACCAAGCCAACAAAGGTAGCAAGAAAAAAAAGAAACCTTTTTTTTTTTCTTCATAAGGCAAAACCGAACTTCTTGCCCCTGACTCACGTTTCTTTTTTTTTTTTTTTTTCAAGGATCTCTTTCTGCTGTAGATTCCCGTCTACTGTCCATGATCTGTGAAATTCCGTTTAGACAGGCTGTTCATTTGCAGTG